CTCTCCCCGATAGAAATTGAGTCTTCACAGTCAGAACTAATCTAGAACTACTGGATTCTCTATGACATCCTGTGTACATGAGCTGGAGAACATTGTGATAAGTTTTTACTACCATCACTATGATAGCACAAATATTTTGGGAAAGTTAATGAATAAAATGAAGTGTGAAATGATATTTTGGCAAGCTTGATTCATGAAAGATTTCAATATTTTTCCTGTTAATAATGAAGCTGCGTCATTCACCAGTAAGAATGTTTGTACGGCAAGCCAGCGAGCTGAGTTTTCCATGAAACTTCTAACAGTATGCAATCTCATTGTCAGTCCCTGTGTCAAGCCACATGTCTCAAATTTGGGTTCTGAAAATTTCTAAGTTGCCACAAATGTATTCCCAGTCAAGATGAAACACTTTCACATGAAAGTAGTTAGAACTTTACATAACAAAATGTGGTGCTTTATTATTCTTCTTGTTGTTGTTATTATGATTATAATTACTATTATGTCTTTTGGTGTTTGTTATTGAAACTACTGCAATACTGTATCATACATGTGCAGGGTGACTATTCCAGCTATCACAAGGTCCAAAAGAGAAAGTATTATTTTCCTGTTAATGACATGTAGTCCCTTTGTTCTAATAGATACAAGGTACCTAGAGGTAGTATATAGAGTAAATATCGTCCCATTAGTCCACTTCCTGCAGCTTCCATTATCTGAGGAAATGTTCGTAACAATTTTGTACAAATTTTTATTCTAGTCACTAGCAGCAGACGTCCATACTACTGGGCTGACTTTGCTTACATCTACAAAAGAAATGTTACATAATACTCAGGTCACACTTTCCCTTCCATCATACATCTTCAAGGAATGTCAATAAACTCACTTTGGTATGGCAAAAAAAAAAATTAAAAAAGAATACACAGCATACGCAAACTTGGGACACAATGAACGCAGGTATAAGAGGCAAGTTCATAACATTAAGTACCTACATTTAAAAAAAAAACTGGAACGATCTCATACTAGCAACTTAGTAGCACACCTAAAAGTTCTAAAACTAAAAGTAATCACTCATAAGAGGAGTATTTGGCAAGAAACGATCAAACTCAGGGCTGAAATCAACAAAATAAAAACAAAGAGAACAATACGAAAAGTCAATGAATCAAACAGTTGGTTCTTTGAAGAAAAAAAAAAAAGCCAACAAGACAGACAAGCACTTACCCAAAATAACTAAAAGGCAGATTGAGAATATCCAAATTAACAAAATCACAAATGAAAATGGGGAGCACAACAGATACCTAGGAAATCCAGAAAATCCTAAGTATATACTTTTAGAACCTGTGTTTTACTAAATTGAAAGATATAAATTAAATGGATAGTTTTTGTGGTGGATACCACTTACCAAAATTAAACCAAGATCAGATAAGAAATTTAAACAGATAAGCAAAGTTAAATCCCCAAAGAAATAGTAGTCACGCCTAGTCCAACAAGGCCACACCTCCTAATCCTTCTAATCATTTCAGTTTCATTCCCTGGTGACTAAACATTTAAACATATAAGCAGTGGGAGCCATTTTCACGCAAACCACTTCACACTCCCAAATGCAAGGATTATAGGCATTTATCCACATGCCTAAATATAAGTAACTTCTTCACTGAGGCAAAAAAAAATGTTTTACAGATATTAGATCAATATGATATTTTGTTTTATATTAACAATGTAATGGCTATAAACATGATATGCTTTTAAGTTTTATCTGTTTTAGTAACCTTTCATCCATTGCTTTCTCAAGCACATCAATGACAAAAGAATAAATCAAACCCAAAGTTACAACATTTCCAAATTTTTGTGGTTTAAGAACTTCTCCCTCTACTCCTCCCAGTTCCTCTCTACCACCCCTCCCTTCCTTTCTTAGAATGTATCATGTGAGAAAAGAAACTATTTTCAAATAAAAGGAAAAGTGAAAAATTAGGTATGCAAATATGCATATATATGTGTGTGTGTATATATATATATAGCAACAAATAATGAAAAATAGGCCATGAACTTAAAAAAGGAGGGGTATATATTAAGGTTTGGAGGGAGGAAAGGGAAGGAAGGAATGGTCTAATTACATCATAATCTCAAAAAGCAAAGAAAAAGGTTCTTGTTAAATGCTTAATGGGAGTGACATAAAAATAAATAACTATAGGAAAAACATTTTTAAAAAACCTTCTGTGGCTGATTTTGCGATCTACAGGGTTGAAAGAATATGCTTGCTGGTATGTCCTTACAGAGCATGGACGCAATGTGTGTAACTCACCGCCAGCACACAGACTACAATAAAATACCAAAAATAATTTAAAAACAATTTTAGTATAATTTCTTTGTTGTCATAACTCAATTTTAATGCTGTGATTAACATCTATCATACAAATTCCTGAAAAGTTAACAATTGGTTCTCAGAAGGTTATAGATGTTGGTTTCAGCTCACTATAGGCTACTATATTTTCTCCTCACAGGTCGGCTTGGAAAACCAACAATTACACAGAATTTAATAACATTTGTGAACAATTCTTGTAATGTCACACTGACCTGCTCTGTGGAGAAAGAAGAAGAGGATGTCACCTACAGTTGGAGTCCCTTTGGAGAGAGAAGCAACGTCCTTCAAATCTTCCAGTCCCCTGAGGATCAAAAACTGAATTACACATGTACTGTCCAGAACCCTGTCAGCAACAGCTCCAACTCTGTCACTGCCCAGGAACTCTGCACAGGTAACCAGCTCCATCCGTCTCTTCTGCAAAGTCTCAGAAATCACTCTGAAGAGCTTCAAGGCTTAACCTTTGACTAATCATCACATGCATGTGCCTCCTCCATGCTGACACTAGCCTGGGTGTATCTTCACCCAAGTAGCCTACTGGGAGAAAGACCAAAGCCCTCTAGGGAGTGCTAAGCATTCCCGGGTGTTTTAAGGAGCCCCTGGTTGACTCTCCGATTCAGACCATAAATTGAAGAGCTTTGGCAGTCTCTGAAGGACATCCCATTTTGACAATGGCCATGAAAGTAGACAAACCTGCACAGAATCTTAGCCCTTTCTCCTGATAGCCAAGACTCACAACAATTTCTCTTTCCAGACATTTCAAGCTTCTACGTCCGCCATGCTGTGTTGCCAAGTGGACTGGCTGTTGCTCTCCCTCTGCTTGTTCTCATTCCATTTTCAGTGTTTCTATTCTATTTTTACAAGAGAAGGCACAATGGGACTGACCTGGAAGGTAAAATGTGAGAATGGGCTTTCTTTCTCCCCAGGAGTGAGTTCGTTTATTTAGCCAGGATGGATTGGAGTGTATCATTTTGGGAACCGTAGTGGTAAAGCCAAAGGAGCATTTGCTAGTCTTGTTTCTACTAGAGCTGCTTCAGAGCTGATGTTCCCATCAAGGTCTCTGGTTGGGGTTTCTGATCTGCCATAGGGTTGTAGAACCATAAGGCTAAAAGGACATAAGTAGTATTTTAGAGAAGGAGGTGGCAAGAAGCTAAAGGACAAAACTCATTGGCTGAGAAGTCATCATAGTGGAGACAGGCACCAACACTGACAGTAATGGTTGATACTCCTGAGACAATGCCTTGTGAAGGTTAAAGGCTTCTAATCTGAAGGATATCAATTATGCCAGAAGGCTAAGTAAACAAGGGCCCGAAAGAATGAGAGTTCTTTTGTGAACTGACCCACATGGGGTAATGACTGGGAAATTCAGCTGCACATGCTCTTCAAAAGGAATCCATCCCTCAGAGGCTGGTTCGCTTTATCTAGTTGATCTGTACATATACACATGTATATATCTATAGGTATGTGTGTATATATGTTATAGATAGATACATAGATATATAGATATAGATTCTCCTGATGGAGGGGGGCCTTGTATCTTATCTGTTGCTTTCATTGGTTAACTAATAAAGAAAACTGCTTGGCCTGATAGGACAGAAAATTAGGTAGGCGGAGTAGACAGAACAGAATGCTGGGAGAAAGAAGCCGAGTCAGGCAGTCGCCATGATTCTCCCACTTCAGACAGATGCAGGTTAAGATCTTTCCTGCTAAGCAAGCTCGTGGTGCTACACAGAATATTAGAAATGGGTTAAATCAATACGTAAGAGCTAGCCAATAAGAGGCTAAAACTAATGGGCCAAGCAGTATTTAAAAGAATACAGTTTCCGGGTAATTATTTTGGGGCATAAACTAGCCATACAGGCGGCCGGGTGCCAGGGATGCAGCCCGACGCAGTTATTTCAACATTCTCCTGGTTATTAAAGACCTGGAGGGTTGTGTCTCATAAAGTGAAGAAAGGAGCCTGGGATCCCTTGTCTAGTTTTTGAAGGTTTTATCTAATATCCAGAGAGGCTTGGTGCACATATGCATCCAAATGGTGCAAAGATATCCATTAGCCACATTGTGAAGGGAAGAATGTTCTCTGAAGAGAGGATGACTTTTCATTCTTCCCTGGATTCCCTATATGAAGCTCTTAAGATTGTGTGAGGGGGGAAAGACTTGGGTAAGGAAAGATGGCGGTGGGAGAGAACTCCACGTGTAGAGAGGAAGGAGTGAGGGGAGGAAGCAGAGTTGCTAGACGGAGTGGCTAGTGAGCATGGACTTGAGTGCAACAAAGGAAAGGTGATCAAAGATGTCACCTGTGGTTTATTGTTGGAATGTGGTCCAGGAATGGAGTCATATGAGGAGAACTCTCAGTGCATTGGGAGAAAACTTCAAGAAAACAAGAGCCTTGTGACCCCAGTTTCTTCCGTTGTTGGAATGTGTTCCTGTGCTCCTCCCCGGAGTGGGGATAGGAGGGAGTTCACTTCAGGTCATTCATCATAACTGGTTGTTGTTATTTGTTTATTTGCCTCTGTGGAAAATGTGTTCTTGCCACATGTGGCTTGTCCTTGGGACTATACACTTTACTTGGGTGACTTTTCTTAACCCTCAGAGTACAAACTGTCTGGTGCTCTGAATAAAGCTGGCTATTGCTTGAGACTTCAATCTACCTCATTTTTAGGCTCCATGCTCCCAGGTCCCACACCTTTAGAGGGGTGTACAGTTGGCTTTAAAGGAGAAGGACCAGTGTGAAACAATCTAGGAAGACACATCCAACATCCCTCTTGCAGCTTGAGGACTATGATGAGGCCATGAAGCTTAAATATAGGAGATCTATGTCCTTACCTAAATTATGACAATGGAGATTGATTTAATACCCAGTTTTATAGCAGTGTGCCATGAGGTGACTAGCATTCTTGACCTGTGAGTGGATATTAAGGGTCAAGTTTTATTGCAAAGTAAAACTAGGGGAGGTATTTTTCCTTTGATAATCTGTGATTTAAATTTGAACCACTTCTTCAGAATACATCCCAGGGCTAAGTCAGAGGGAATAATGGGCATGAGACCCATCGTGTGGGTCCTACCAGAGGTGATGTTTTTACTCAGAATGGACCATTTGAGGGAGCAACAGAACCCTAGTGTCAAGGACAATACCTGGCTATGCTGCACTATCTCCATGGAGATGTGCTTGTAAGCCAAGGTGTTGCTTGAGAACAGAGACTCTCAGACTGGAGAGATAACGGCTCGGTCGGTCGTTAAAAGGCTAGGCTTACAACCAAAAATATAAGAGACCAGAGACTCTCCTGGTGCATGGAGACTAAATTTGGTTTCACTCAACAGTCAAATCTCTCCAGCTGGTGAAGTCAAAGCAACCCTGAAGGTAAAATTTTACAGTGTCACACTTGCTGCGGATTGGTCAGAAGGGAAAGGAGAGGACTCACCATCCAGGAGAAACCTAGGTGACTTATGGACCTTTTGGATTAGGAAGTATTGCCAGGAGCCAGAAATTATCAGCAAAAGCACCATCAACCACTCACTCGCTCCCACCTGCTCTGGCGAGCAACAGCAATGCTTGAATGCGGGAAAGGAGTGAGAGAGGAGAGGATAGACTAAGCCCTCACAATACGTACACATTCGCCCTGGACAAGTGCTGCTGCCAACTGCGCTACACCTTGAGAACAAAGTGGCCCTTCATTCTTACAAACTATAACGGGGGGGGGGGGGGTCCTCGAGTCCTACCAAAGTAGACCCTTGATGTATTAGTTACTTTTCTCATTACTGTGACAAAATACATGGAATTCCATCTTGACTATTATTTCACCAGTTATTTTAGCTCTCTAAGATCCCATTTCCTCAGCTGTAAGATAGCCATAATAATGGGGTTTACTGCATATACTTATTAAGGAGATTACATACATGTAATAGTCAGCCCAGCCCCTGGTACTAGGTAAATATTAGTTCCTGCGGGTATAATTGGCAGGCCTGAGAATGGTACAGAGGAGGCATGCTAAGGGAAAGGTTTTATGACATGCATCATAACTCAATCAGATTTACAAAAGGGAATGTCATCATACCTCAGGCTTGATCTCCACGTCTATTCAAAGAAACATCTTTCTTCTTTTCACAGCCAAGAGAGTAAGGAGAGACAGAGATAGAGAGACAGAGACAGAGAAATGGGGACAGACTATTTTTTGCACCCATGAATAAAATTGAGAGCGCTTTGTCCCTTACTAAGTCTGGGGCAGAGACCAGATGAGCTCTGAACTACTGAGCCCTGGGGTAATCTCAGATCTGACCCATCATTTGTACCTATTTTGGTGTCCTGTAATAAGAAGGCACAAAATCCTGGCTATCTCTTTTCAACTTGACCCTAAAACACTGTGTTGATACTAAACAAAAAGATTAATGCCTCATCTAGCTCAGAAATTTTAAAAATTAAGGATCTTTGTACCCTTCCTTTGTTTCTCTGAGGCCTCCCATGGAGCCTGACACAAACAAAAAGCTTAATAGATGCTTAACTATCTCATGAATGCTTGTGGTTATAGTCGGCTGTGCACCAGGATAATAAAGCAGCGAGTATAATTAGAATCAGTCAGGTTAAACAACTGAGACCCTGACGTGAAAAGTCCACTAGCCATGCACGGTCATCAATGCCAGAGCTACCTCTGAATTACATACAGGACTGGGAAGAGTCTCTTTAGGCTAAACTGGACCTCAGGAATAAAAAAAAAAATTCCCACTGGGATGTTGGTGAGATTTGAATGAGATATGTCCTATCACACATGTAATCCTTGGGATGAAAAGACCATCTGGTCCAAGCACCCTTCTCTGTAGGGTGGGGGCCATTTAACCTCTGGGTTTTATTTCTTTACCACAGAAAGATAAAATAAGACGAAACAGTCTCTAAAACCCTGTCTGCCTTTCACAGACTATTGTTCTATGTTTATTTGTGGCAGGTGATGTCTCAAAGGAAACAGCATACTCTGAAGTTTCAAGAAATGCTCATCCCATGGAGTCCAGAATCTATGATGAAATCCCTGAGGCCAAGGTGAGCTGACGCTACTCATGAATGCATCCTACCACTACCTGCAGAATAGGAGTCTTGGCCAACAATTGCCCACTGTTTGCCATTGCATAGAAAGAAGCTACAGCCAAGAATCTGGAGGAACCAGCCAAGAGACACTATGCTAAGGCAATGATGCCATGGATCTCCCCATGAAAGCAAGCATAATTCATTCTCTTCTCATGGCAGCTTCCATGGTATAAAACCCTGAGCTTCACAGGAAGGAGTAGCCATGGCTTAGATGTGATCTGTGTCTAAGAAGCTCTCCCTGATGGGATTAAACAACGAAGGAGTCCTTATCGTGAGACAGAGAATGCTGTTCGGTTCCTACAGGGCAAAGTCATTGCTAAGGTTGTTCCAAGGATGTATAACTGAAGATGAACACCCTGGAACTGCACTAGCTGGTCTATCCGAAGCTTGATTTCTCAGACTCTTTATTCCCTCTGACCCACACCTTTTGCCTTTTGTCTGCCTGCCTGTGCCTCGCCTCCACAAAGATCACCTTCAGTGCCTCCACAAGCCTGTTCCCTTGGAGTCTGCCAAGGACCAAAGGGAGACACTCGGGCTTCTCTGGTTAGTCTGTCCCTCCGCTTGAACTGCCAGGGATAAGAATAGAGATTCACATAACTCACAGAAAGCTAAACTCCCAACTGAGCAAGACTCAGTCTAAACCACACAGAACCCTCCTCTTGGCTCTTGGAGGGTTTTTTTGCTACAAGGCTGTACCCATCTGCCACCCATCATCCTTATCTCTACCTTAACCTGATCCAAAGTTGGATGGAACAAGAGCTGATGCCAGAAAAGGAGGCAACCCAGTAAAGTGGGACCAGAAATGGGTGATGGAGAGAGTAGAATTGGGAAGGGGGACTCTTAAGGACTGTCTTCTGCATTCTCACTGAGGGGGAAAACACCTCTTTTCCAGGTGCTGCCCCGCAAGGAAGAGCCAATGAGCACCATTTACTCCTCAGTGCAGCCTTCTGAGAAGGTAAATCCTGTATGGCTTTTTAACTCTCTTTTCCCACTTGTTCTGCCTACCCTGGTGAATCCCATCCACTAATATTTGATTGCAAGCTCAAGGCTTCTCGAGCCAATGGGAAAGTTGCTCCTAGCATCCTAAGTACTAGGTCACACGAGACATTAGCAGTGATGAGATGCCGGCAGTTCCTTGTCTTTATGTGGAGGTGAAAATGGAATCACTGGAGAACAGGAAGAACTAAAGCTGAACTGGGAACAAATAATGCAGCCTGGATGTTGCTTGAAGCCTAACAATCAAAACCAATGGCAAATACCCCTATTCCCTTCTACTTATCTTTTCTGGGTTAAGAAGTTCCCTGAAGTTCCCAAATGGGGTGACTGGAGCTATAGTGACATTTCATTTGTATTTTAGTAAATAAAGCTTGCTTGAAGATCAGAGAGTAAAACAGCCACCCTGTTTTACAGTCATACAGACCAGGCAATGGTGACACACACCTTTAATCCCAGTAGCCACATTAGTTAGTCATAGAAGCTGGGTGGAAGTGGTACACATTCTTAACCCCAGCATGAGAGAGGAATAAAAGGTGGGAGGAGACGGCTCTCAGGCCCAGTTTCATTCTGAGGATTCGTGAAGGCAGGATCACCATTTCTGTCTGAGGTAGAGGAAAGAACCAGTGACTGGCTGCTTTTTTTTTTCTGATCTTCAGGTTGAACCCCAATATCTGTCTCTGGGTTTTTATTATTCGAGCTACATAGAGCAAAGGGAAAGGGCTCACCAAAGGAAATAGCCTGGCCATCCCCATTTCCCTAAGTACTGGCAAAATCTAAGACATCATCACCCTGTGCTGTTTTCTTAACTACCTCTTGGGACTGGACTGAGCCAGCCACATCTTTCAGCTAACATGTTTTCATATTTCCCTCTTTTGCTCAGGTGTGGAAAAACAACACGAAGGATGACAGACGTCCCAAGACTTTGGGTAATGAAATTATCGTCTAGGTGAGCAAATAGCGTTCTCCCACCAGGAACTGAAGTTACAAGCAGCAATAGGACAGGTGTCCTGGAGACCAAGACTTTCTCTGGCTGTCCCATACTATGGCATTCCAACTCACCACCTCCAAACACACAGGCAGAGCAGGAAACCTTCTATTATTGGACATTACTTGTACCCAAATGGACTTATGGACACTTGTCCTTACTTATCAAATCCTTTCTATGCAAGAAGCAAGACAGAGTCCCTAACATGGTACCTCCCAAACTTCTTCACATCACAGAAAATAGAAGAGTTATTTTATGGCACACTGGATGAAATCATCAAGGTCACTCACATTTAAACAAGACTGAAGATAGCTGGGATTGTCAGCTCTAGCTGCAGCATCACTACCCAACAGCTGTGGGAAGATATCAGTCAATATTTTGAACACTTGGATGTTCTCTGCAGACTCAACATGCATAAGGAAACCTGATGCATGGCCTCCATAGTTGCTACAGTACCTTAAGCAACTTAGGAGAGGCATGCTTGGAGTATAAGTAACCCCTCACTTGAACGCATGGCATGGCAAGCCAAGTATAGGCTACCCCTACTCATTCCTCAATTCAGGAGCCATCATGCAGGACGCAGCTGCTGAGTTGTGGCCCTCAGCCAGGCTCATACATTCTCTAGAGTACAGACTAGACTGCTAGAGATCTTCAGAAGCCTCATAAGATTTCCTGTCTGGCCAGGCTTTCCTTCCCTGTGTATTACTTCAGACAGCCTCAGCGAAAAGACACCATGCCCAAGAGCCTCACTCTCCAAAAAGAATTGGCCAGCTACATTTCTGACACCCTGAGGGAAGTGGGTGCAACCAAACCATCAAACCAAGAGATCTTGAGGACTGCAGAGTCATGCACATAAGAGGGAACCTGGGAGATGACATTGCAGATGGTGAAACTGGCTTCACCCCAGCTGCTGTTTCAGCCAGCTCAGACAGGCACAGGGTTCAAGCTAAGGAGGAGTTCCTTCACCCCAGCACCACCACCACCCCCCCCCCCACACACACACACACAAGCTCAAAACCAGCTGCCAGTCATGAGGAAGAATTTCCATCTGGACAGGGCAGCATGTGATCATTTGAGGCCACGGCTATCATTTGTGTCAACAATCCTTACCAGCTAAATCTCAAATGCCCATGGATACCAGGCTCCACTGTAGGAATGAGCTGTATTTGGGTACAATAAAATTGCGTGTCCCACAAAGGTCCTGGGCACATTTGAAAGCGTGAGAGGTACTGCTAACTTGTCCTCTGATAAGGCTAAACTGATTTTTGTTTTCAGTAAATGTGCTGGTGTCCTTATGCCCTCACTCTGCCTATCTGGCAGGTGAAATTTTTCTCCCATAGGCCCAAATACTTACTGTTGATTGTATTCATTCTGTTTTGAAAATTTGTTGATATCTGTCAGGTCCCAAAGAAACCTGGAACAAATAAATAACTGAGTTGCCTGTTAGCATACCAAAGAGTATGCTGGCCAGGTTCACTCAGCCTGTGGCTTCTCTCTGCTCTTCCCACCCCATCCCCTAGCCTAACCCTCTCCAGCCCAGGGGCTTCACTTCCCTTCCCAGCCTCTGATTCCTCTCTCTCTCTCTCTCTCTCTCTCTCTCTCTCTCTCTCTCTCTGTGTGTGTGTGTGTGTGTGTGTGTGTGTGTGTGTGTGTGTGTGTGTGTGTGTTTGAGTCTTCCTTCTCTCTTGGTCCTCTTGGCCCTCCTCTCTCCTCTCTTCCTCTCACTCTACCCCCACCCCCTCTTTCTCTCCTTTCACGGCGTGGTCTATTCTGCTGGCTTTGTTCAATCTGCCACTTTCTCTCTCTGCTCTGGAATCCTTCAGATGCCCCTGGCTGTACACTCCCTCACGTCTACAATAAAACCTTATCTCCAACCATACCTAGGAGCAGTCAGTGTCCTCATTTTCATTCAATACCTTCTGTTCATTTCCCTATCGGTTTGTTTACAAAGGCTTTCCTGAATAACCTAAATGCCCCTAGACTTAAGAATGAATAAAGATGTGGTACCGGTACCAAGGATGGCCTCAGCTAAGACCCTAAGCAATAAAAGAGAGGGTACCCGAACTGGCCTTGCCCTGTAGTCAGACTGATGAATATCTTAAATATCACCTCAGAACCTTTGTCCAGTCACTGATGGAAACAGAGGCAGAGACCCACATTGGCGCACTGGACTGAGCTCCCAAAGTTCAGTTGAAGAGTGGAAAGAATGAGAATATGAGCAAAGAGGTTAAGACCATAATGGGTACACCCACTGAAACAGTTTACCTGAGCTAAAGGGAGCTCACCAACACCAGCCAGACTGTGAAGGAACAAGCATAGGACCAAACTAGTCCTTCTGTATGTGGTTGACAGTTGCATGGCTGGGGCAGACTGAAGGGCCACTGGCAGTGACACCAGGATTTATCCCTACTGCTTGTACTGGTTTTTGGGAACTTATTCTCTTTGGACGGATGCCTTGCTCAGCCTAGATATAGTAGGGAGGGCCTTGAACCTTTCCCAAAGCAATGTGCCTTGCCTTCTCTGAGGAGTGAGTGGGAGGTGGGGGGGGGGGGGGGGGG